CATTTCTCTAGTGGAGACAAACAAATGGGTGGATACATTCACATTTCTCTAGTGGATACATTCACATTTCTCTGGTGGAGACAAACAAATGGGTGGATACATTCACATTTCTCTAGTGGATACATTCACATTTCTCTAGTGGAGACAAACAAATGGGTGGATACATTCACATTAATCTAGTGGATACATTCACATTTCTCTAGTGGAGACAAACAAATGGGTGGATACATTCACATTTCTCTAGTGGAGACAAACAAATGGGTGGATACATTCACATTTCTCTAGTGGAGACAAACAAATGGGTGGATACATTCACATTTCTCTAGTGGATACATTCACATTTCTCTAGTGGAACAAACAAATGGGTGGATACATTCACATTTCTCTAGTGGAGACAAACAAATGGGTGGATACATTCACATTTCTCTAGTGGATACATTCACATTTCTCTAGTGGAGACAAACAAATGGGTGGATACATTCACATTTCTCTAGTGGAGACAAACAAATGGGTGGATACATTCACATTTCTCTAGTGGAGACAAACAAATGGATGGATACATTCACATTTCTCTAGTGGAGACAAACAAATGGGTGGATACATTCACATTTTTCTAGTGGATACATTCACATTTCTCTAGTGGAGACAAACAATGGGTGGATACATTCACATTTCTCTAGTGGATACATTCACATTTCTCTAGTGGAGACAAACAAATGGGTGGATACATTCACATTTCTCTAGTGGATACATTCACATTTCTCTAGTGGAGACAAACAAATTGGTGGATACATTCACATTTCTCTAGTGGAGACAAACAAATTGGTGGATACATTCACATTTCTCTAGTGGAGACAAACAAATGGGTGGATACATTCACATTTCTCTAGTGGATACATTCACATTTCTCTAGTGGATACATTCACATTTCTCTAGTGGAGACAAACAAATGGGTGGATACATTCACATTTCTCTAGTGGATACATTCACATTTCTCTAGTGGAGACAAACAATGGGTGGATACATTCACATTTCTCTAGTGGAACAAACAAATGGGTGGATACATTCACATTTCTCTAGTGGAGACAAACAAATGGGTGGATACATTCACATTTCTCTAGTGGATACATTCACATTTCTCTAGTGGAGACAAACAATTGGGTGGATACATTCACATTTCTCTAGTGGAGACAAACAATTGGGTGGATACATTCACATTTCTCTAGTGGATACATTCACATTTCTCTGGTGGAGACAAACAAATGGGTGGATACATTCACATTTCTCTAGTGGAGACAAACAATGGGTGGATACATTCACATTTCTCTAGTGGATACATTCACATTTCTCTAGTGGAGACAAACAAACAATTGGGTGGATACATTCACATTTCTCTAGTGGAGACATACAAATTGGTGGATACATTCACATTTCTCTAGTGGAGACAAACAAATGGGTGGATACATTGACATTTCTCTAGTGGATACATTCACATTTCTCTAGTGGAGACAAACAATGGGTGGATACATTCACATTTCTCTAGTGGATACATTCACATTTCTCTAGTGGAGACAAACAAATGGGTGGATACATTCACATTTCTCTAGTGGATACATTCACATTTCTCTAGTGGAGACAAACAAATGGGTGGATACATTCACATTTCTCTAGTGGAGACAAACAAATGGGTGGATACATTCACATTAATCTAGTGGATACATTCACATTTCTCTAGTGGAGACAAACAAATGGGTGGATACATTCACATTTCTCTAGTGGATACATTCACATTTCTCTAGTGGAGACAAACAAATGGGTGGATACATTCACATTTCTCTAGTGGAGACAAACAAATGGGTGGATACATTCACATTTCTCTAGTGGATACATTCACATTTCTCTAGTGGAGACAAACAATTGGGTGGATACATTCACATTTCTCTAGTGGAGACAAACAAATGGGTGGATACATTCACATTAATCTAGTGGATACATTCACATTTCTCTAGTGGAGACAAACAAATGGGTGGATACATTCACATTTCTCTAGTGGATACATTCACATTTCTCTAGTGGAGACAAACAAATTGGTGGATACATTCACATTTCTCTAGTGGAGACAAACAAATGGGTGGATACATTCACATTTCTCTAGTGGATACATTCACATTTCTCTAGTGGAGACAAACAATGGGTGGATACATTCACATTTCTCTAGTGGAGACAAACAAATGGGTGGATACATTCACATTTCTCTAGTGGAGACAAACAAATGGGTGGATACATTCACATTTCTCTAGTGGAGACAAACAAATGGGTGGATACATTCACATTTCTCTAGTGGAGACAAACAAATGGGTGGATACATTCACATTTCTCTAGTGGAGACAAACAAATGGGTGGATACATTCACATTTCTCTAGTGGATACATTCACATTTCTCTAGTGGATACATTCACATTTCTCTAGTGGAGACAAACAAATGGGTGGATACATTCACATTTCTCTAGTGGATACATTCACATTTCTCTAGTGGAGACAAACAATGGGTGGATACATTCACATTTCTCTAGTGGAACAAACAAATGGGTGGATACATTCACATTTCTCTAGTGGAGACAAACAAATGGGTGGATACATTCACATTTCTCTAGTGGATACATTCACATTTCTCTAGTGGAGACAAACAATTGGGTGGATACATTCACATTTCTCTAGTGGAGACAAACAATTGGGTGGATACATTCACATTTCTCTAGTGGATACATTCACATTTCTCTGGTGGAGACAAACAAATGGGTGGATACATTCACATTTCTCTAGTGGAGACAAACAATGGGTGGATACATTCACATTTCTCTAGTGGATACATTCACATTTCTCTAGTGGAGACAAACAAACAATTGGGTGGATACATTCACATTTCTCTAGTGGAGACATACAAATTGGTGGATACATTCACATTTCTCTAGTGGAGACAAACAAATGGGTGGATACATTGACATTTCTCTAGTGGATACATTCACATTTCTCTAGTGGAGACAAACAATGGGTGGATACATTCACATTTCTCTAGTGGATACATTCACATTTCTCTAGTGGAGACAAACAAATGGGTGGATACATTCACATTTCTCTAGTGGATACATTCACATTTCTCTAGTGGAGACAAACAAATGGGTGGATACATTCACATTTCTCTAGTGGAGACAAACAAATGGGTGGATACATTCACATTAATCTAGTGGATACATTCACATTTCTCTAGTGGAGACAAACAAATGGGTGGATACATTCACATTTCTCTAGTGGATACATTCACATTTCTCTAGTGGAGACAAACAAATGGGTGGATACATTCACATTTCTCTAGTGGAGACAAACAAATGGGTGGATACATTCACATTTCTCTAGTGGATACATTCACATTTCTCTAGTGGAGACAAACAATTGGGTGGATACATTCACATTTCTCTAGTGGAGACAAACAAATGGGTGGATACATTCACATTTCTCTAGTGGAGACAAACAAATGGGTGGATACATTCACATTTCTCTAGTGGATACATTCACATTTCTCTAGTGGAACAAACAAATGGGTGGATACATTCACATTTCTCTAGTGGAGACAAACAAATGGGTGGATACATTCACATTTCTCTAGTGGAGACAAACAAATGGGTGGATACATTCACATTAATCTAGTGGATACATTCACATTTCTCTAGTGGAGACAAACAAATGGGTGGATACATTCACATTTCTCTAGTGGAGACAAACAAATGGGTGGATACATTCACATTTCTCTAGTGGAGACAAACAAATGGGTGGATACATTCACATTTCTCTAGTGGATACATTCACATTTCTCTAGTGGAGACAAACAAATGGGTGGATACATTCACATTTCTCTAGTGGAGACAAACAAATGGGTGGATACATTCACATTTCTCTAGTGGAGACAAACAAATGGGTGGATACATTCACATTTCTCTAGTGGAGACAAACAAATGGGTGGATACATTCACATTTCTCTAGTGGAGACAAACAAATGGGTGGATACATTCACATTTCTCATCACTTAATATAAACCAGGCCAACTTACCTCATCACTTAATATAAACCTGGCCAACTTACTCATCACTGAATATAAACCTGGCCAACTTACCTCATCACTTAATATAAACCAGGCCAACTTACCTCATCACTTAATATAAACCAGGCCAACTTACCTCATCACTTAATATAAACCAGGCCAACTTACCTCATCACTTAATATAAACCTGGCCAACTTACCTCATCACTTAATATAAACCAGGCCAACTTACCTCATCACTTAATATAAACCTGACCAACTTACCTCATCACTAAATATAAACCAGGCCAACTTACCTCATCACTTAATATAAACCTGGCCAACTTACCTCATCACTTAATATAAACCAGGCCAACTTACCTCATCACTTAATATAAACCTGGCCAACTTACCTCATCACTTAATATAAACCAGGCCAACTTACCTCATCACTTAATATAAATCTGGCCAACTTACCTCATCACTTAATATAAACCAGGCCAACTTACCTCATCACTGAATATAAACCAGGCCAACTTACCTCATCACTGAATATAAATCTGGCCAACTTACCTCATCACTTAATATAAATCTGGCCAACTTACCTCATCACTGAATATAAACCAGGCCAACTTACCTCATCACTTAATATAAACCAGGCCAACTTACCTCATCACTTAATATAAACCTGGCCAACTTACCTCATCACTTAATATAAACCAGGCCAACTTACCTCATCACTTAATATAAATCTGGCCAACTTACCTCATCACTTAATATAAACCAGGCCAACTTACCTCATCACTGAATATAAACCAGGCCAACTTACCTCATCACTGAATATAAATCTGGCCAACTTACCTCATCACTTAATATAAATCTGGCCAACTTACCTCATCAATTAATATAAACCTGGCCAACTTACCTCATCACTTAAGATCCTCTTGACCTTCTTACGGCTCTCCTTCTCCTCCTCGCTCTCATCGCTTGAGTAGATGTTTGCCCTTTCTGTAATTATACATTTTTTTATGAATTCAAACCAGAAAACTCAATCAGTTAGCAATTGGGTCCATGTGACTTAAGGTACTGTGATTGTTGAATGTGAAGAACAGAACTCATTAGAAAATGTTTGTGTAGTGGTATGGTTGGTGTTGGGGATATCAACTTACACAACAACTTATAAGTAAAATAAAATGGCAAAAATTAAACCAGCAATTCATTTAGTTAAAAACTGATTGAATTGTTTCATTCTAAACATGAAATAAATTCTTGGTTTAGTCCACATTTTGAACTAACACAACTTCTTGTTATCCTAAGTTATTGCCCTTTACATAAGTGTAGCTTTAAACATGAAACAATTATTTTTAAGTTCAAAGAATTTATTTATTTGCAATTTGTTAGAGAACATGATGAAAGATTATCCACCTTCAATATTTAGGACTATTTATTTTTAAAAATTTGAATAGAGACTAGGACAAAATTTTTTTCTTTCCCACACTCAGTTCAAGCAAATGTAAGTCACACTGTGTAAGGACGGATTTAGTACTTTAGGTAGTGAACATTAGCAAATGTAAGTCACACTGTGTAAGGAAGGATTTAGTACTTTAGGTAGTGAACATTAGCAAATGTAAGTCACTTTGTGTAAGGAAGGATTTAGTACTTTAGGTAGTGAACATTAGCAAATGTAAGTCACTTTGTGTAAGGAAGGATTTAGTACTTTTGGTAGTGAACATTAGCAAATGTAAGTCACTTTGTGTAAGGAAGGATTTAGTACTTTTGGTAGTGAACATTAGCAAATGTAAGTCACACTGTGTAAGGAAGGATTTAGTACTTTTGGTAGTGAACATTAGCAAATGTAAATCACACTGTGTAAGGAAGGATTTAGTACTTTAGGTAGTGAACATTCATCTGAAAAGTGGGCTGGAATGGTCTGATGATAGAGCGTATGACTGCTAACTCAAAAGTCTGGGGTTTGGATCCTAGGGTTGATTCCGTAGGAGGTCCATGAGTCCACTCAGCTCTGATGAGTAGCTGACTCAAGTCATATGCAGAGGTCACAGTCACAGGTGAACTCTACTTCATCTGCCATATGGACAGCCAGATTCAAAAGGGTAAGTTCCCCCCTCCCCCCACTGCAGAAAAGACAAATATCTTACTGTTGTCCTTGTTCTGCTTGTATTTGTTCTTGATAGCGCTGATAGAGATTGCCTCTTCATCCTCATCATCATCCTCATCACGACCCTCTAAGTAGGATGATGTCAGCCCTCGTGTGTGTGACCTCTCTCTCACACGTTTCTGCTGACTCTCACGACGAATGGAAGCCCGCAGTTTCTCTTCCTCTTTCTGTTGAGTTCATCACATATGGTTTGTCTCATTAGTGCAATGTCAAGTATAAACAAAGTCAAAGACCACTAAAAGCTTCTATGCTCTCACACTGAGGAGAAATGTGTCCCACTTTAAGCCCTGCCCCACCCCCTCTGAACAAAACCTTTCTATTGGTAAAACCAAAGGCCCTGACCTTCATCATGTCAGATCTGTTGGCCTCAGGATCCAGTCCAGTGATGGGTAGAATCTTGACCTTTTGGGTCTTAGTTGTGCGGTCAGCTAAAGACATGGTCATCTTGCGATGGGTGAATGAATCTGTGGAATGTGGCCTGTAACAAACAAATCCATTGTGTCAGCACTAGAAACCCACACAGCATCAAGCAAATGATGATTGTAAGAGCTAGATAGACTGGCAGTTACCTGAAGACTAGTTTGGTCTTGAAGATGGACTGACCCTGCAGGCCAGTACCCTGCCTGACAAACAAGTGGTTGAAATCTCCTTGTAGTGGCATGGAGTACACGTCAAATATTTCATCTCCCAAGTGTAAGGACATGCTGGAATACATCAAGTACATGTAAGGACATGCTGAAATACATCAAGTACATGTAAGGACATGCTGGAATACATCAAGTACATGTAAGGACATGCTGAAATACATCAAGTACATGTAAGGACATGCTGGAATACATCAAGTACATGTAAGGACATGCTGAAATACATCAAGTACATGTAAGGACATGCTGGAATACATCAAGTACATGTAAGGACATGCTGAAATACATCAAGTACATGTAAGGACATGCTGGAATACATCAAGTACATGTAAGGACATGCTGGAATACATTAAGTACATGTAAGGACATGCTGGAATACATCAAGTACATGTAAGGACATGCTGGAATACATTAAGTACATGTAAGGACATGCTGGAATACAGCAAGTACATGTAAGGACATGCTGGAATACAGCAAGTACATGTAAGGACATGCTGGAATACATCAAGTACATGTAAGGACATGCTGGAATACAGCAAGTACATGTAAGGACATACTGGAATACATCAAGTACATGTAAGGACCACACCATCCACTCACCTGATCACACCATCCATACACCTGACCACACCATCCACTCACCTGACCACACCATCCACACACCTGACCACACCATCCACACACCTGACCACACCATCCACTCACCTGACCACATCATCCACACAACTGACCACACCATCCACACACCTGACCACACCATCCACACACCAGACTACATTATCCACTCACCTGCCATCTGACCACTTAACCATTCTTGCGTTGCTCTCCCTGAGAGTTTGCCCATTGTCGTCCTTCACCTCGTTACCCTCTTCGTCCACCTTCTTGCGCCACCTGATTGTGTTCTCAACACGAAGTTTTAACCTAGCTCTGCCTTCCTCGTCCAACACCTCATCTTCATCTACTTCATCTTCATATGTTTCAGCATCGTAAGGTCTGAGGACAAATTCAACACAGTGAACCAAACTAAGCCTGGCAAATATTTCTACAATACAAACACTGTCAAGTTTACAACTTGGTTTTGTATAGTCTTAAGAAATTAATGTTTATAATATAAACCCAGAAGGTAGGTTTGGACTGTGTTATTGAGGGCAGCACTGATGTAAGTACACAACAGACCTGGTCTCAACACTGAGAAAGTTGGGCAGTTTGACGTAATGCAGGGCTGACCCCAGATCTGTCACTATACGAGGGATCTCCACTTCTATACGGTTTTCTGGTGGTTCCTCCTCTTTATTCTCATCATCGTCATCAATAACACCCTAGACAAAATATTTTAGAACCATCATCAATAACACCCTAGACAAAATATTTTAGAACATCATCAATACGTAAAGTACTTAAATATTTGTATCAGCATAATCAATGCCTACTCTAGCACAGGCTACAGGACATGCAAGAAAAAGTTGATGCATTAGGAGCCATCTCGCAGCGCGTAGGTCTCAAGATCAACAAAGAAAAGACAGAAATGATGAGAATTAACAATAAACAGGAGGCTCCAGTGACAATAGACGGAAGACAGGTAAATGATGTGCAAGAGTTTGGCTACCTTGGCAGCAAGATCAGCAAAACGGGAGGCACAGATGAGGACATACGCGCAAGTAATAGAGCCCAATGCGCTTTCACAGTCCTGCGACCCATATGGAAAAGTTCGGCCATCTCCATTACCACAAAAATTAGGATATTTAAATCTAATGTCAAGGCAGTTCTGCTGTATGGAGCAGAGACATGGAGAGTCTCCAAGGCAAGCACAGCAAAGATACAGACCTTCATGAATAGATGCCTTAGACAGATACTGAAACTGAGATGGCAGGACAAAGTGCCGAACTTGGAACTATGGAGGAAAGCTAGGCAGGAGCCTATAGGTGTGCAAATAAGAAGGAGGAAGTGGCGCTGGGTGGGTCACACACTGCGAAAGGCTCACACAAATGTTACACGCCAAGCGCTTGAGTGGAACCTCCAAGGAAAGCGGAAGAGAGGGCGCCCAAGACAGACCTGGAGGCGGAGTCTTCTTGAAGAACTGAATCCAACAGGGATGTTTTGAGAGATGTCAAAATTAATAGCCGAGGATAGGAAGAAATGGAAGGAAATGGTGGAGGCCCTATGCTCCATAAGGAGCAAAGAGGACTAAGTCAAGTAAGTCATAATCAATGCCACCAGAATGGTAAAGGGCGTGTACCTACCCTTCTGACCACCTCATCCCCATCTTCCCTTCTCTTTTCTTTATCCTCCTCATCAGAGCTGATGTCTCCAGCATCTCCAAACAGCTCCATGGCATTCAGGTCAGTCAGATCCATGTCAGCTAAAACACACAAGTCAGTTCAATTTCAGGTCAGTCAGGTCCATGTCAGCTAAAACACACAAGTCAGTTCAATTTCAGGTCAGTCAGGTCCATGTCAGCTAAAACACACAAGTCAGTTCAATCCATGTCAGCTAAAACACACAGTTCAATCCATGTCAGCTGACACAAACAATACCCTAATCAAATCTGCTTACAACTATGTCATTAACATTAAGCAACTCCTGCTAAAAGCATACATCTAAACACAAAACAAAGTTTAAAATACATCTGAAAAGCTCTTAATGCAGAAAATTGTTTTTAAATGAAAAAAAAGTAAAGTGCAGCTTAACTATTTATATTAAAATAATGATTGTAAAAATAATTATTGTAACTTTTACTTTTTCCCAGTAAACAAAAGCCTGAACAAATAATTTTTACCTTCTTTGAGTAGCGCATCTCTTTCTGCTTGGTCTATCTCATCCAAACCATCATTATCATGTGCATCATCATCTTCATCATCGCTGCCAATTTGCCTGCGAGATTTCTTGTGTGGAACATCACTGCCAGAATCAGAATCAGAGCCAGAAGCTTTCCTTCGCCCTGAGACAAACCAATCAAGGTTTACCATGTACTTTACAGAAGTCGATGTGTCACAAAATAGTGTTCAAGCACATTTATAATACATTTAGGCTAATATATGCTCAACTCAAAGAATGTGAGACTTACTAGTTGATGAGGCCTGGCTGACAACACTACTGGCTCGGCTACCTACAAGTAATATAAGAATCATTTAGTGATAAATTAAAGCTTGTGTTTGCTTAGTGCTGAGTACTGATTAGTGCTGCTCCTACCTGCTCTACTGCTGTGGGCAGATCCACTTTTATGGCTTCCACTCTTCTGACTTCTGGCGGGACTAGCACTCCCACTTCTTGCACTACCTGCAGGGCTTGCACTCCTGTGGCTACCTGCAGGGCTTGCACTCCTGTGGCTACCTGCAGGGCTACCACTCCTGTGGCTACCTGCAGGGCTACCACTCCTGTGGCTACCTGCAGGGCTACCACTCCTGTGGCTACCTGCAGGGCTACCACTCCTGTGGCTACCCGCAGGGCTACCACTCCTGTGGCTACCCACAGGGCTACCACTCCTGTGGCTACCTGCAGGGCTTGCACTCCTGTGGCTACCTGCAGGGCTTGCACTCCTGTGGCTACCTGCAGGGCTTGCACTCCTGTGGCTACCTGCAGGGCTACCACTCCTGTGGCTACCTGCAGGGCTACCACTCCTGTGGCTACCTGCTGGGCTACCACTCCTGTGGCTACCTGCAGGGCTACCACTCCTGTGGCTACCTGCAGGGCTACCACTCCTGTGGCTACCTGCAGGGCTACCACTCCTGTGGCTACCTGCTGGACTTTCACTCCTAAATGAACAAAAATAAAACATTTAATCTAACAATCACTAGAAAAGCTTAAGAACAAGATTTTAATAAAAATTTTTTACTAATCCACATCTTTACTTTCACACTTAGCAATGTGTTCAACTATCCTCATTTAAAGTACCTATGGCTTTCAGCAGGACTTCCTGATCTGTGGCTACCTGCTGGACTGCCTGGTGCACTTCCTGCTGGACTGGCCGGTGCACTATCTGCTGGACTGGCTGGTGCACTATCCGCTGGACTACCAGGTGCACTACCTGCTGGACTACCAGGTGCACTACCTGCTGGACTGCCACTCCTACTTCTGTGACTACCTGCTGGACTGCCCGGTGCACTACCAGGTGCACTACCTGCTGGACTGCCACTCCTACTCCTGTGACTCCCCACTGGACTTCCTAAATATTAAACAAATAATTAATTAAAACTGAAATATAAACATGGCTGTAAATTTCTTGGCATGTAATTTTTTACTAATTAAAATAAAAATCGGTAAAATAAAAATCAACAGACACAATTTCATTATATTACACCAGTGAAGTAGAAGAGATAACAAAAAAGGAGCTTGCCTATTGGGCTTCTGTCACTGTCTGCTGGGCTTCCACTTCTCTGACTGCCTGCAGGACTGGCACTCCTGTGGCTCCCTGCAGGACTACCACTTCCCTGGCTGCCTGCAGGACTTGCGCTCCTATTGCTGCCTGCAGGGCTGACACTCCTGTGGCTCCCTGCAGGACTACCACTTCTGTTGCTGCCAGGACTTTGTGCTGGGCTTGATGCTCTACTGCTTGCTGCTTCATCATTGGAGTTCTAGGAAAAAAGATTTTCTTCATTAGATCTCTAAAAAAATCTCTACAACTAGACTACATCCCACATCTACTACTGAAGTCTATAAAAATGTAACCCCAAAATCGTGTTAATAAAGTGTAACTAGTTCCAAAAACAAACTATAGAATCTACTATTGAAAATTAGTTCACATAATTTATATTTCTATAAGAAAGATGATAGATTCTACTCACTTCGTTTTCAGAATCAGCCATTTTAAAACAGGAAAAACTAAAACGAAAGAAAGAAACGTTAGTCTAAACACCAAAAACAAAAAGAATCAAAATATAATAACGCAATACAAATTTCTGTTACACTGCTTCGTAATAAAAACGTAAAAAATAATAATTAAATAATTCACAACACAATATTACGAGGATTACTGAGGCGATGTGTGACGAAGAATAGTGGTGCTCAGAAAGTGTGACGACACTTTCTTTTTTAAAAGTTTGAAACTGAATTTTAACTGGTAGGCTATTTTAAATTTTAAAAACTTTTTTTTGCAAATTGCTAGAATCTAGATCTAAATAATGAGAGGGGGGGTGTATCAATCTTTTTTAAATGTGTGACGCCGTTTATGGACTATCCCCAACCATAATACCGACAACTTCTATTTATTTTATATTTGTGAATGTCATGTTTTCTTTGTTATTATTTTAAAATATTTTGGTTGTTAGCGTTTACTTTTTCATCGTGACCCATGACCTTTTCTCTAGTATACTCTAACTATCTATTTTAAAGTATTTAAAAGTAGCAGTAACTTGTAAGATTGATATTAATTTAGATTTCTACTAGTCTAGATCTAGAATTAATCAATTAAAGTAACACACAGTGAATTTTTTCATTACAACAAGTGGCGACTTTAGGTACGTAAAATTAAAATCGCCCGCGACTAGATCTACTAGTAAAAAAAAAAGTAATGTGAAAAACAGGTGACTGACACACTGCCTTAACTAAACTTAACTTCCTTCGACCTTCAGACTTAAATTTTAATAATTAATTAATTATTACACTTTTATAGGAGGATTTTAGTCTTGAAATTTACAAACCTGTTTCAAAGTTTCATTTATGTACCTGTTTTTAAACAATAGAATTAAAACTTTTCAGTAATAAATGAAGACTAGCGATGTTTCCAACCAGTGTTTCTTCCAGACTTTTTTCTCCGGGGGGGGGGGGGGGGGGGCACTTGAAATTTTCAGGGGGGCGGTAAACTTTCTTCGGGGGGGGGGGGGGCGGACACTGTTAAAAGTATATATTTTCTATATAAATTATATAAATTTCATTTCGTTCGGGGGGGGGGGGGGGGGGGGGGTGTAAAAAAATTTCGCCCCCCCCCCCCCGACGATATGCCTGGAAGAAACTCTGTTTCCAACAGATGCAACAATGCTCATTTACTATAGAATATAGATCTAGTAATTGTTAACTATAGTAGCCATCTTGTTTAAGTTTTTTTTTGTAAACTTATTTATAGCGATTCAGGGGAAGCCACTCTATTTTACAAATGGCTGTTGTTTATATAGCAAATCTTGCTCGCAAACACTGCTGTTTAAAGTTAATTTCTGGCCTATATTGATATATTTAGCCATTGAGTTAGGTTTATTATTCATTTATCTATAATATTTGACACAAATATATCACAATATACTTCTATTAAAGCCTTGACAATGAGTTAACTTTTTCGTACATTACTAGCCGCAGGCGATTTTACGTACCTAAAACGATAGATTACCTATAGGATAGCCCGACTTATAGACTAACTACTACTACTAGTACTTACTAAGTAGTACTATGACTACTGTCTATCTAGTCACAATCTAGTAATTTTACAATACCTAGAGTGACCTAGACTAGACCTATTAAACTAATATTCTGAAAGTAGGCCTACTAAGTAGTAGTGAGTAGGCCTATTTAGTATTTAATAAAAGTCACATACACTCACATACATTAAATTTAAAAAAAGACATTGGATTACAACAACAAAACAGTACAGTACATGAGAAATATTATTACTTTATTACAGTAGGTGAGTAGGATATGCCTACCCTACAGTCTTACATATTCACATAACATTTTAATAATGTTTGTAATATAAATAAGTTTAATTATTAAAAAACTTACTAGGTTTCTATGTCTAGTTAAAAAAAACAATTTTAAAATTTTTGGCATAGGGTCATCCAGCCATAAATTTTGACATGCTTTTTTAAATTTGGATTATTTTTACCTCCCATCGTCACAAACAGCCGTCCCCCTAAAATGATGTTATACAGTAACCACCAAGCTCTTTCGAAATTGCAGTTTTATTTTAAAACATCAACTTTTTTCTAAAATATATCCAAGCTTGTTGGTCAACATTAAGTGTATTAATCAATTTCTCAAAACCAGTCTTTAATAAAATACTTAAAAAAAACTTTTTTAAAAACCACGTTTTTCTTGTGGACTAAAAAGAAGAAAATAACTATTTACATACATTTGATGACAAAAAACGTGGGTCGGGCAGATGGGTCGGGAAATTTGATGGTGAACGTACCCACGTTTTTTGTCATCAAATGTATGTAAATAGTTATTTTCTACTTTTTAGTCCACAAGAAAAACGTGGTTTTTAAAAAAGTTTTTTTTAAGTATTTTATTTTCTCCTTTTTAGTCCGTTGCTACACATGAAAAACGTGGTTTTTAAAAAGTTTTTTATATAGTTTATTTTCTACTTTATCTAATCACTTGATTAAGTATGACTTGACTAAGTGTTTTTAAATACACGGACTAAAAAAATCTTGAGCGACCGATACGCTTTAAACAGAGAAAGGGTGTAATTTACGTTGCTGGCGTGGAGATCTACTCACGAATCACGTGATCAAATCTCCCATAAACAAACAAATAAACGCGAAGCTGAGTTAAGGAAAAACGTGTTTATGTGTATTTTAGCATGCCCAGCGTACCAACCATGTCACCGTTAACAATGTGTTACCGTGTCCGTTCTCCTTTTTAGTCCGTTGCTACACATAAAAAACGTGGTTTTTTAAAAAGTTTTTTTTAAGTATTTTATTTTCTCCTTTTTAGTCCGTTGCTACACATGAAAAACGTGGTTTTTAAAAAAGTGTTTATAAATACACGGACTAAAAATCTTGAGCGACCAGGATTCGAACCTGGGTTGTCGCGGCCACAACGCGAAGTACTAACCACTATACGATCACGGCCAGCGCGCTCACATCGATTGGGGCCGAAGTAACTGTGTCAATAGGCCTCGAGTCTTGTCGGTATCTTTAGAAATCATGTCCTCAATTTTATGGTCCTTGGGGCGTAATTAAATTAAGCTAATTACGGTCACTAATTGCTAGTTTTTATGATTGCATCTGAAATTGTTAGGCGAAAGTAGCATGCATGCCAAATTTCAGGTCTCTAGAGCAATCAGAAGTGGGCTAATTTTCGATGTCAATTTTAACAACAAACATCCAAACAACCAAACAAACAAACAAACGCGAAGCTGAGTTAAGAAAAAGTTTTAAAAACAGGAAATAATGTCTAAAATTAAGTTACTAACATTATTTTTTTTAATGCAAAAGTGTTTCGTCACTCTTTTCTGAATTCTCAACCAACCCCCACCCCACTCATCACAAAATATTTTTATTTATAATATAAACATAGCACACCCTAATTGTCCTGAATGATGAAATGTATAATATATTTTTTATTAAACAATTATAATTATAGTAACATTGCACTTGGGGGTGGGAAAGGCTAATAGTGTTTTTCTAAGAATCAAAATATTTCTAAATTTTATTCCAGAATGAAGCGTGTATTACCATCTTCCAATTCTAAATCCTGGACTAATGTAAAATTAGGCGTTAAAATTCTAATTTTGTTGGAAGCTGGTTGTTTTGTAGGCTCTTATCTGGTGTGGCGCAAGATGAACAGAGATCAAGGTGAGTCTAAGATTATCATGTACCGCAAAATTATTGGGTTTTTAAACCACTTTAGAACTTATCATGTTAAATATATATAACAGACGACTACCCCTCATATTTACTTTTTAAGGCACCCCACACTGCTCTAAAAGATGACAAAAATGTTGAGATTTTAATACAAATCACATTCACGTATAAATAGCTCTTCACATCTTCATTAGAATCTGTTATCTAAACATTATATATGGTCAAAAGGAAAAAAATGTAAGCCAGTTATGTCATGTTGTCCATTCAACTTCTTGTATGGTGTCAAGTGTGTGTGCACCGAGACTAATTTGTCAAAGTGTGTACACTCTACTCCACCTAGACCATTTTGTTTATATTAACCAGTGAATTTTCCCTCCAGTTCTGGCATGTAAAATGTTGTGATCTGTCTTTAAATTTACCTTTCTCCAGATTTTAGGTTTAAAATCTACCAGAGGTCGCCAGCTGCTCTTGACTGTAAGTACACATGTACGGTCTAGCTTTAGCTACTGTATTTTCTTTTTACCTTAATTGGTGTCTTGGGATATTTTATCTAGCCATAATATTTTTTTCTGTGGTATTTTGTTCTAATTACAGTTGCTTTTCTTGTTATATTTTGTTCTAGCCTCAATCATTCAATGGGGTTTTTTGTGTGTGCTATTTTTACTGTGCTAATTTTCAAGAATGATTCAACTTTCAAGCCAGTTTTTCTTATATTTTTTTTTATGATTGTGTTATGGGTGATGTTTTTAAACTTGGTGGCTTTAAAATAAACCATGTTTAACATGTCGGTACTGGTAACTTACAAGAGCATTTTTGTTTTTTATTTAAGGATTCTTGCAGTAACAAGTTTTTAATATTTAGCCATATAAACACTAGAGTTTAATATTTAGCCACATGTACACTAGAGTTTAATATTTAGCCACTTGTACACTAGAGTTTAATATTTAGCCACATGTGGAGCTTAATATTTAGCCACATGTACACTAGAGTTTAATATTTAGCCACATGTGGAGCTTAATAGTTAGCCACATGTACACTAGAGTTTAATATTTAGCCACATGTACACTAGAGTTAAATATTTAGCCACATGTACACTAGAGTTAAATATTTAGCCACATGTACACTAGAGTTTAATATTTAGCCACATGTACACTAGAGTTAAATATTTAGCCACATGTACACTAGAGTTAAATATTTAGCCACATGTACACTAGAGTTTAATATTTAGCCACATGTACACTAGAGTTAAATATTTAGCCACATGTACACTAGAGTTTAATATTTAGCCACATGTACACTAGAGTTTAATATTTAGCCACATGTACACTAGAGTTAAATATTTAGCCACATGTACACTAGAGTTTAATATTTAGCCACATGAACACTAGAGTTAAATATTTAGCCACATGTACACTAGAGTTAAATATTTAGCCACATGAACACTAGAGTTTAATATTTAGCCACATGTACACTAGAGTTTAATATTTAGCCACATGTACACTAGAGTTTGTCCAAGGATTGTCATGGGATAATTTCCTGGGTAATTAACTTAATTAAGAACAAATCCACTGTTGGCTTAATGTTTTTGTTGTTGCCAGATTTCTACAAGTTTGGGGAGACTTTAGGCAACACATCCTCCAGAATGTCTGACTACCAAGCTTGGGGCGTCCAGAAGGAGTAGGGGTCAGAGGTCATCACCATGGTGTTGTGTGTATATCTTTTTGTAAATAAGTTCTAATTGTAAATAAACATTAGTGGGAAAAAAAAAGTGTTTTGTAAAGTTGAAATGGTGCAGTGGTGGAGTGTGTGTGGGTGGGGGGGGAGACTGACTGAAGATGGCAACATCATTTTATTTACCCAAACTAAATCACAGGGGATTGTCCAGTATTGGTGCTAGTGCTACACATTATTTTATTTACCCAGACTAAACGACAGGGGATTGTGCAGTATTGGTGCTAGTGCTACACATTATTTTATTTACCCAGTATTGGTGCTAGTGCTACACATTATTTTATTTACCCAGTATTGGTGCTAGTGCTACACTTTATTTACCCAGACTAAATGACAGGGGATTGTGCAGTATTGGTGCCAGTGCTACACATTATTTTATTTACCCAGACTAAATGACAGGGGATTGTGCAGTATTGGTGCTAGTGCTACACATTATTTTATTTACCCAGTATTGGTGCTAGTGCTACATCAATCAACTGTTTCTGTTCTAACGGAAAAAAACAAAGGAAGTGAAATACAAGAGCTTCAGTCTTAAGAGAAATTTAAATACTTTCTTACTAGTTATAAATTAATGTTCACTGGTGGAAAAGCATTTTTTTCATCTTCTAACCTTGTGACTTTAGTCAAATGTCAGTTGTCATTTGGTGAAATAGTTGTCATTGTAAACATGTCATGATGCTTTCCCACCAGTGGACGTCTTTAACTGTTCCCAATGGTCAGGAGGAGCTGGGCGGTGTAATAGGTGGCCATAATGACCCCCTCAGCCAGACTAAACTCGTACACCCATTTACTGAAGGCGATGGTGAAGTCTGAAGATATGAACACGAAAGCCCCGAGCATGGCACAAAAAGACGAGGGTGAGGGGCGGCTCTCATAGCCCGAGATGGCGTAGTAGAGCATGGCGTGGATGAGGCAGGTGTAGAGCAGGACGATCAGACGCATCGACGTCTCCTCCATCCCCGGGAACAATATCACGTACACGCATGCGCCGAGCAGTGGGGCGATCCAGGCGCGGGTCTGACGCGTGCAGCCTCGCCTGAAGTGGAGCAAGTAGCAGAGCTGGGCCATCCCGAACACCCCTACCCCCGGCTTGAAAAGATTCTGGTAGACCAAGCAGACGTCGCCCAGGCTTGAGATCATCAGGCCGTACAGGAAGTAGTTCCGGCCGGCAGGCGGCGCGCCGGTTGTTTCTTGTCTTTGGTAGGTGTAGTATACCAAGAACCAAATAGGAAGAATTTTCAAGATGGCTGCCGTGATGCACTCATCCGGACGTGCCACGTGGGGCTTGTACGTGACCAGATAGACCAACAGCAGCACATAGAAGGGGAAAATGGCGGGCTGCAGAAAGCGGGAAACTATCTGAAAGTGGACAAAATATTCCAACTGTTATTCTTATCTTAATGATTATAGTAATTAGTCCTCGTTACAGAGGCGTAGCGGGGGGGGGGGGGGGGGCACTTGTCCCCGGGCGCCGACCTTGGCGCCAAAATGGGTTGGAAAAACAAATTGAAGGTTTGAGGGGGGGGGGTGCAAATCGAAAGTTTGTCCCCGGGCGCCGGGAAGGGTCGCTACGCCTCTGCCTCGTTAGACTTAGCAATCCATTGGGCAGATGAAGTAGAGTTTATATGTTTCTTGACCTAGCATTTGAAGAGAAGGTGTGGTTAGCACTTTACCCGGCCACCTTTACTTTCCCTAACATGAGTTAGTTACCCGTCAGAGCTGGGTGCACTCATGGGTCGTTCTACTCGAGACCATCGGGTTGTCAACCTAACAGCTGGGTGGACTCATGGACGTTTCTACTCGAGACCATCGGGTTGGCAACCTAGCACTCACCCACTTAGGTCACGGCCGTCCATTATAAAGCAACTTTTTTTTTCAAAACTTTCCCAAGAGTGCAAAAAAATTCGACCACACGATTCAGGTTTTTTCAGGTTTTTTAGAACGGCTCAGGAAAATCTCAAAGGTAAAATCTGGGTTATTCTAATGTGGAGGGAGTGGTAAATACTGACTAAACTTTGTACATACCGCTTCTTGTGCCATCATACATTGACTTTACTACTTCCCCTGCACTAAAGAAGACTCGTAAAACCAGGTTACTCGACATTCACTAAACATTACGTGTATTTAGATCGCACACTCGTTTGTTAGGGTGATTGAACAGGTGCACAATTTATGCATATTCGAAGTACCGAGTTCGGATCATAGTCGGTAGAACCACCCTGACCAGCAAGCGACGTAAAGGTTCGTGTCTTAAGGTGGGTCAATATAAGGGATCGTCCATAAATCATGTTACACGCTCAAGGGATCGTCCATAAATCATGTTACACAATTATAAACTATTTACCCCCCCCCCCCCCCCCCCCTTTATCATTACAAACAACCCTTCACGATCCCACTAAATGACGCAACAGGGGTCTAACCGTATCCACCCCCCCCCCCCCCCCCCATCCCAAATACAACACAATTTTAAGACAACTTTATTTCATAATTTTTCTCCAATATAACAAAGAATAGTCGTGTCCCCCCCCCCCCCCCCCCCCCCCACACACACACATAAGTCAGAACACCTCATCCCTTCTGATACAGATGGGAATATCTTATTTTATCTTTTATTAGCGTGACTTTTAATGCGCACGTGTTCGGGGAAAATCCAATCGCGACAAATCAATGTCGCCCAATCAAACGGAACTGAGTAGAGCTACCGAAATATACTGGATATGGCCGTCGGCTGCTACTGTCATTTGGTCTAGCTGTCTTTTGGTAAATTAAAACAATTAATGTCATTTGGTCGAATTGTCTTTTGTAATTTAATAATGTCTTTTGGTTAAATGTCTTTTGGCAAGTTAATGTCATTTGGTCTAATTGTCTGTTGGTCAATGACTTTCACTTTACGTGAACTGGTGTTTTTGAGTAGACTAATTATTTTCACCTGTTTGTGTAAAATGGCTCACCTGTATGTATTTAAAAACTCATCTGTCTGTAGATAAAAACTCACCTGTATGTAGATAAAAACTCACCTGTTTGTGTAAAATGGCTCACCTGTATGTATTTAAAAACTCATCTGTCTGTAGATAAAAACTCACCTGTCTGTAGATAAAAAACTCACCTGTATGTAGATAAAAACTCACCTGTTTGAATGAGCCCATGATTCTTGTCTTGCCAGTTGCCTCTGGAAACAGCCGACGCGCCTCGCCGACCGATCTTACAGTGCCAGCCACGCACCTGTAGAGGAGAACATACCTTGAGATTTGGTGCCAACACAGCCTTAAGTTTTAGTGGTGGGGAGGAAACGCGGTTTTAAGTTCAAATTTTCGCAACAATTTAAAGAATACTCGGCCGTAAGAAATCTACGAGCCCTTCATGGTGAGCTGAAGACCAGAGTCAGCCGTTGGGGGGTGGCCAGCCCCAGACAGACGCCACATGCAGCGTTGAGGATGAGCTCCGAACAGGCCGGCGTGGATCTGGAGATCGACGTGGCTGACCTCAGCACCAGTTCCGCCGACATCATCCTGCACGTGTCCAAGAGCCAGCAGGACTCAAAGAGCGAGCTGGCCGCGACAGACGTGGCCAGTAACGCAGCAGACGTGGTCAGTAACGCAGCAGACGTCAATCTAGGCGGCGGCGACCACACCAATGACCTTGAGGCGATCACATTGTTTTACCAGGACGCCATTGTTGTGAGTTATTTTTAGATTCAATGTAACTAGCAGCATGGCTGGAGAAAAGGACTAATTTTTCGACGGGGGGGGGGGGGGGGGGGGGGGGGCGCACACTGGTAAAGGTATATAGTTTCTATATACATTCTATTTCGTTGGGGGGGGGGGGGGGGGCGATTCAATGTTTCTTTCAGGCATATCTTCGGATGGGGGGGGGGGGGTATAATTAACATCACAGGTAGAATTGTACAACTCGACATTACAAAACTTGTACCAAAGAACATACGAACATACAACTATATGAATAGAATAAATTACTTGACCTCTACTGTTAAGTTCTTCTATACTTATGTTATGGTGTTTCCTACGAGAAACTGAAGAGTACTGTCGATGTTCCTTTATAGTACCACAACTTACAATGGTAGCCAGAGTATTACAATAGTACTATCAAAAAATTACAATGGTACTGTAAAAATAATACAATGGCAGTGAAAAAGTTCTATAATGGTACTGTAAAAATACTACAATGGCAGTGAAAAGTTCTATAATGGTACTGTACTAATGAATGATGGTTTCCTACTTTTTTTTAGAACACCACGCGACGTTTACTTTGAGAAACTGTAGCCACTCTGTAAATAGTGCTACTCTAGTCCTACTACAGTCCTTCTATCGTCTTTTTGTAGTCCTACGCTAGCCCTACGAGTAACTCATCCCTTTCTTTCTCCAGAAGATTTCAATATTTATCGACTACACAAGAAAAGTTGTGCCTTCGGTAGGTCTGTTTTTTTCATTTTATTTTATTGTAGGTCAAGGTGCTTGGCCAGGCTTATCCAGTGGATACTTAGCAGATATTATCTTGTGGATATCTAGCAGATATTATCTGGTGGATATCTAGCAGATGTTATCATCTGCCTACTTGGTTTTTAACTTCTCGAGGTGTTTGGCCTACAACTTACACACAATGACAAAAATTAATAATTAAGTTATTGGAAAATTATTTCTTTTAGAAATTTTTTATTTTATCCACAACACATGCCTAACTTAATCTTAGCTAAAGTTAACCTTAACTAAACTGAACTTTGCCTGAACTTAATCATTCCTAAACCTAGCCTTGCCTAAACTTAAACGTGCATGTACTTGTCCAAATTTGGGTTCACTAAAGTCATGCCTAGTCCATACAATTCGTCCAGTCCGTTCTAGTCCATATAATTCGACCAAAGTTCAACGATTAAGTTGTACATATACTTGATCTGTCTAATAATACGGGTCGCTATACTGGGGTCACTGTACATTCCCTCAACACGGGTTGTTAAACACACGTACGTCGATGTAGATGGGTCACCCAACACAGGTCACCATACATAGGTCAAAATACACGGGTCACTATAAACAGGTCATTATACACGGGTCACTATAAACAGGTCATTATACACGGGTCATTATACAAATGTGAAAATACACGGGTCACTATAAACTCACGTCAGACGAGAAGCAACATTATCACGTGTGAATATTCAGAAAAAACGAAACATTTCACTCAACAGTAACCAGAGCCCGAATACCCGGTCACGACACGGTCATACCTGATCTATGTATCGATCGTTAATGTCGGCGCGCGGTAAGTGGAATCACCAGCAGGAAATACGCCCAGTCCATTACCCGCGAGAATGACATGGTGATCAAGCGAATAACCCTTCAAATCATCGATCCCATTTGACGCACATGTGTACATTAGACAATGTTGATTAGCGTCAGCTGGACTAGCATACCCGTGTCAGCTGGACTAGAATACCGGTGTATCTGAAACGTATCCAGTGGGTGGGCACCTGAGGTAGAATAGAGCTAGGAACTTGCCTGTTACCTCCTGAGGTAGAATAGAGCTAGGAACTTGCCTGTTACCTCCTGAGGTAGAAAACAATAACTAGATCTAGATCAAGGAAAGGCTACTCCGATCAAAACTGGCAGGCGATAACCTCGTTCAAGTCAAATAAAGCGTGTGATTAAAGTAGGGCCAGGATGTTATATCACAGCTTCATGACTGGGCCGTCTGCTGTGTCGTCTCTAGGACTGTGTCGTCTCTAGGACTGTGTCGTCTGGGTCTCGTCCTGATTGTGTCGTTATTGGGGTTTGAGTAGCCAATGGGGGTGTGTCGTTCTGGGGGTGTGTCATTATGGGGGTGTGTGGCCACTGGGGGTGTGTCATTATGGGGGTGTGTGGCCACTGGGGGTGTGTCATTATGGGGGTGTGTGGCCACTGGGGGTGTGTCTATATGGGGATGTGTCATTATGGGGGTGTGTGGCCACTGGGGGTGTGTCATTATGGGGGTGTGTGGCCACTGGGGGTGTGTCATTATGGGGGTGTGTGGCCACTGGGGGTGTGTCTATATGGGGATGTGTCATTATGGGTGTGTGTGGCCACTGGGGGTGTGTCTATATGGGGATGTGTCGTTCTGGGGGTGTGTCTATATGGGGGTGTGTCGTTCTAGGGGTGTGTCATTATGGGTGTGTGTGGCCACTGGGGTGTGTCATTATGGGTGTGTGTGGCCACTGGGGGTGTGTCGTTCTGGGGGTGTGTCTATATGGGGGTGTGTCGTTCTGGGGATGTGTCATTATGGGTGTGTGTGGCCACTGGGGTGTGTCATTATGGGTGTGTGTGGCCACTGGGGGTGTGTCTATATGGGGGTGTGTCATTATGGGGGTGTGTGGCCACTGGGGTGTGTCGTTCTGGGGGTGTATGGTCACTGGGGGTGTGTCGTTCTGGGGGTGTATGGTCACTGGGGGTGTGTCGTTCTGGGGGTGTATGGTCACTGGGGGTGTGTCGTTCTGGGGGTGTATGGTCACTGGGGGTGTGTCGTTCTGGGGGTGTATGGTCACTGGGGGTGTGTCTATATGGGGATGTGTCATTATGGGTGTGTGTGGCCACTGGGGGTGTGTCTATATGGGGATGTGTCGTTCTGGGGGTGTGTCTATATGGGGGTGTGTCGTTCTCGGGGTGTGTCATTATGGGTGTGTGTGGCCACTGGGGTGTGTCATTATGGGTGTGTGTGGCCACTGGGGGTGTGTCGTTCTGGGGGTGTGTCTATATGGGGGTGTGTCGTTCTGGGGATGTGTCATTATGGGTGTGTGTGGCCACTGGGGTGTGTCATTATGGGTGTGTGTGGCCACTGGGGGTGTGTCTATATGGGGGTGTGTCATTATGGGGGTGTGTGGCCACTGGGGTGTGTCGTTCTGGGGGTGTATGGTCACTGGGGGTGTGTCGTTCTGGGGGTGTATGGTCACTGGGGGTGTGTCGTTCTGGGGGTGTATGGTCACTGGGGGTGTGTCGTTCTGGGGGTGTATGGTCACTGGGGGTGTGTCGTTCTGGGGGTGTATGGTCACTGGGGGTGTGTCTATATGGGGGTGTGTCGTTATGGGGGTGTGTGGCCACTGGGGTGTGTCGTTCTGGGGGTGTATGGTCACTGGGGGTGTGTCTTTTGGATGGGGGGGGGATGATTTCGTTCTGGGATGTGCCGTCCTTATGGGTCCTTATTGGGGGTGTGTGTTTAGGTCTAGCCTATCACAAGTAGACGTAGGGTATTTGAGGTACTGACTACAACTGTAGATAGGTTGGACGATAAGTTGCACCCATCTACTTTGAGTATGATTGTTGAGGTAATGACTACAGCTGTGGGTTGGAGGACAGGTTGGACGATAGGTTGGAGGACAGGTTGCACCCATCTACCCTGAGCACGCCCCAACCTACCCATGCAGCACTACACACCGCCAGTCATGGCTGGCTATTGATTGCTGTACCACGGCCTCGTTCATGTCCGGCAACACACTGGGCTCGAGGCTTTGTTGTCATTTGATGTCAGCACCTAGCGGCGCTGTTGTCATTCGATGTCAGCAGCTAGCGGCGCTGTTGTCATTAGATGTCAGCACCTAGCGGCTTTGTTGTCATTAGATGTCAGCACCTAGCGGCGCTGTTGTCATTAGATGTCAGCACCTAGCGGCTTTGTTGTCATTAGATGCCAGCACCTAGCGGCTTTGTTGTCATTCAATGTCAGCAACTAGTGGCGTTGCTGTCATTCAATGTCAGCACCTAGTGGAAATGTTGACAATAAAACAGTATATTGATAGTTTTGGTTTGTTGAGAGAGGGTTAGAAGAGGAGTTAGTTAGGTTTAATCCAAGCCCCCAATTCCCAGTTGTACAAACCTTTATTTGATGTGGCCAGAACAATTTGTCTGAGACTGGCCAGAACAATTTGTCTGAGACTGGCCAGAACAATTCGCCTCTCGTAGACCAAACAGTCATCTCTCCCCAGGCGTGCCGGCGCCTGTGCCGCCTGAGCTGCCGCTACGGCTACTTCCTGTTCCCCTTCTGGTACTGCTACTGGTACCTGCTGGAGCCCACTGAGATGCCCAGCAAGCTGGAGTACACCATCGTCCGCCTGCTGCCCTGGATCTTCCTCATAGAGACGGCCAGACACGTCCTGCAGATCTCGCCCCGTCACTACAGGTACTTCTGGCTGGGGGGGGGGGGGGGGATGTGGGATCTCGCCCCGTCACTACAGGTACTTCTGGCTGGAGGGGGGATGTGGGATCTCGCCCCGTCACTACAGGTACTTCTGGCTGGGGGGGGGGGGGGTGTGGGATCTCACCCCGTCACTACAGGTACCCCTGGCTGGGGGGGGGATGTGGGATCTCACCCCGTCACTACAGGTACCCCTGGCTGGGGGGGGGGGGGCGTGTACGTGTGTACGTGCTGATTGTGTATGTGTGAGTATATTGTGTGCCAATGCTTTTGAGTACCCAGGAGATCTCGAAATAGGAAATAAAAATTACATCCTGTAAATAACAGCAACAAGAGTAATTTTTAAAACTTGTTCTATTAGACGAACTTATGTGGGCGAATCAAGAAATAGCTGCGGTTGTTTGTTTTTTTTTTGTCAGTACATGCTTTTGATTTATGTCAGACCTTAAAGAAGTAACTGACCTCTGTTGACCTCTTGACCTGTGCTGACTTGCAGGTATGTGCAAGTTGGTCTGCTGCTGTGTGCGTCAGGTGACGTGGTCATCATCTGGTTCAAGAGCCGCATGCTGCTCAGTGTCTTCTTGATGTGTGTCGGCCATCTCAGCTACACCATCGGCTTGTTTCAACACTATAAGGTGGGTGGGTGGGGGATGGTGGGGAGGTGGTGTGGTGATGTGGTGGTGGGTGGATGGTATGTAGGTTGTGTGTCATTGGTGTGTGAATGGTGTTTAGGTTTTGGGTGGTTGGTGTGTAAGTGTAGGTGTGCAGTCGGTTTAGGTGCCAGGTAGGTGGTGTTTGATTGGTACCTCTACGAGTCAGGTGTAGGGGTCAGGTCAGGTGTAGGGGTCAGGTCAGGTGTAAGGGTCAGGTGTAGGGGTCAGGTCAGGTGTAGGTGTCAGGTCAGGTGTAGGTGTCAGGTCAGGTGTAGGGGTCAGGTCAGGTGTAGGGGTCAGGTCAGGTGTAGGGGTCAGGTCAGGTGTAGGGGTCAGGTCAGGTGTAAGGGTCAGGTCAGGTGTAGGGGTCAGGTCAGGTGTAGGGGTCAGGTCAGGTGTAGGGGTCAGGTCAGGTGTAGGGGTCAGGTCAGGTGTAGGGGTCAGGTCAGGTGTAGGGGTCAGGTCAGGTGTAGGGGTCAGGTCAGGTGTAGGGGTCAGGTCAGGTGTAGGGGTCAGGTGTAGGGGTCAGGTCAGGTGTAGGGGTCAGGTCAGGTGTAGGGGTCAGGTCAAGTGTAGGGGGTCAGGTCAGGTGTAAGGGTCAGGTCAGGTGTAGGGGTCAGGTCAGGTGTAGGGGTCAGGTCAGGTGTAGGGGTCAGGTCAGGTGTAGGGGTCAGGTCAGGTGTAGGGGTCAGGTGTAGGGGTCAGGTCAGGTGTAGGGGTCAGGTCAGGTGTAGGTGTCAGGTCAGGTGTAGGGGTCAGGTCAGGTGTAGGGGTCAGGTCAGGTGTAGGGGTCAGGTGTAGGGGTCAGGTCAGGTGTAGGGGTCAGGTCAGGTGTAGGGGTCAGGTGTAGGGGTCAGGTCAGGTGTAGGGGTCAGGTCAGGTGTAGGGGGTCAGGTCAGGTGTAGGGGTCAGGTCAGGTGTAGGGGTCAGGTCAAGTGTAGGGGGTCAGGTCAGGTGTAGGGGTCAGGTCAGGTGTAGGGGTCAGGTCAAGTGTAGGGGGTCAGGTCAAGTGTAGGGGTCAGGTCAGGTGTAGGGGTCAGGTCAGGTGTAGGGGTCAGGTCAGGTGTAGGGGTCAGGTCAAGTGTAGGGGGTCAGGTCAAGTGTAGGGGGTCAGGTCAGGTGTAGGGGTCAGGTCAGGTGTAGGGGTCAGGTCAGGTGTAGGGGTCAGGTCAGGTGTAGGGGTCAGGTCAGGTGTAGGGGTCAGGTCAGGTGTAGGGGTCAGGTCAGGTGTAGGGGTCAGGTCAGGTGTAGGGGTCAGGTCAGGTGTAGGGGTCAGGTCAGGTGTAGGGGGTCAGGTCAGGTGTAGGGGTCAGGTCAGGTGTAGGGGTCAGGTCAGGTGTAGGGGTCAGGTCAGGTGTAGGGGTCAGGTCAGGTGTAGGGGTCAGGTCAGGTGTAGGGGTCAGGTCAGGTGTAGGGGTCAGGTCAGGTGTAGGGGTCAGGTCAGGTGTAGGGGTCAGGTCAGGTGTAGGGGTAAGGTCAGGTGTAGGGGTCAGGTCCGCTGGAAGCGTGGTCAAACGGTAGAGAGCAGAATTGCTAGCCGGATGGTCTCGAATTAACTTCCAGGCCTGAGTCCGTAACAAGTCCACCCAGCTCAGATGGGTACCTGACTGCTGCACGTCATTGAGTCCACCCAGCTCAGATGGGTACCCAATTCGAGTCAAGTAATGCGGCTAACATTTCTGACTACACTGTCCTTTCATTGTATCTGCCCGTGTTTAAAATAAGTCCTTCTCTAACAACCAGTGAAGACTCCATAACGGAAGGCATTTTGTTGTTTGCTTAGAATAATTTCCCTTCTCTCTATTGGTGTTAACTGTCACGTGACTTGCCCCGTTTGTTCCAGGCGTCCCTGTACATCAGGATTGTTTACCCTTTCAACTTTATGACCTTTGTTCCAGGCCTCCCTGTACATCCGGATTGTTTACCCTTTCAACTTTATGACCTTTGTTCCAGGCCTCCCTGTACATCCGGATTGTTTACCCTTTCAACTTTATGACCTTTGTTCCAGGCGTCCCTGTACATCCGGATTGTTTACCCTTTCAACTTTATGACCTTTGTTCCAGGCGTCCCTGTACATCCGGATTGTTTACCCTTTCAACTTTATGACCTTTGCCGCCCTCATCTACGTGGCAGGGGCCACGGTGGTCACCATGTCGGTCATCGCTGTCACGTTGTTTGTCACCGTCGTCAGCTACTTCGTGGTGTCAGGGTAAGTGTCACGTCTGCTGGGGGTGTCAGGGTAAGTGTCACGTCTACTGGGGGTGTCAGGGTAAGTGTCACGTCTGCTGGGGGTGTCACATCTGTTGGGGTGTCAGGGTAAGTGTCACGTCTGCTGGGGTGTCAGGGTAAGTGTCACGTCTGCTGGGGGTGTCACGTCTGGTGGGGGTGTCAAGTCTGCTGGGGGTGTCACGTCTGCTGGGGGTGTCAGGGTAAGTGTCATGTCTGCTTGGGGTGTCACGTCTGCTGTGGGTGTCAGGGTAAGTGTCACGTCTACTGGGGTTGTCAGGGTAAGTGTCACGTCTACTGGGGTTGTCAGGGTAAGTGTCACGTCTGTTGGGGGTGTCAGGGTAAGTGTCAGGTCTGCTGGGGGTGTCAGGGTAAGTGTCACGTCTGTTAGGGGTGTCAGGGTGAGTGTCACGTCTGTTAGGGGTGTCAGGGTGAGTGTCACGTCTTCTGGGGGTGTCAGGATAAGTGTCACGTCGGCTAGGGGTGTCAGGGTAAGTGTCACGTCGGCTAGGGGTGTCAGGGTAAGTGTCACGTCTGCTAGGGGTGTCATGGTAAGTGTCACGTCTGCTGGGGGTGTCAGGGTAAGTGTCACGTCTGTTGGGGGTGTCAGGGTAAGTGTCACGTCTGCTAGGGGTGTCACGTCTGCTGTGGGTGTCAGGGTAAGTGTCACGTCTGTTGGGGTGTCAGGGTAAGTGTCACGTCTACTGGGGGTGTCATGGTAAGTGTCACGTCTGCCGGGGGTGTCAGGGTAAGTGTCACGTCTACTGGGGGTGTCATGGTAAGTGTCACGTCTGCCGGGGGTGTCAGGGTAAGTGTCACGTCTGCCGGGGGTGTCAGGGTGTTACGTCTACAACTCGCTTCCACGTGATGTCATTACGTTTACCATTAAAAACATACCGACATATTAACTCAATATGATTTAACACTCTCAACTCTGGCTGTACGAAACGTCACAATTTTAACCCCCAGGGAAAGAAACTTCCAGAAGCGCTCCTGTTTCCTGGGCTTGGCCGGCGTGAACCTGTTCCTGCTGAGTGACATGCTCTTGTTGATGAGGGAGCCGACGCCCCAGCCCGAGAGACCGGCTCCCGCCCCCGTGCCCGCCCCCGTGGGCTGGACTCACTACGTGAACTGGCTGATGGACGATGACCTGCTCAACAAGTTGATGACTTTAAAGTTTGGCCCACCGGACCTGGTCAACAAATGACCTCGGTCTAGTTAACACCCAGTTTCAATGACCTAAGACCTATTTGCTGTACCCATCAGGGCGGAACGTGACCTAAGCTGTGAGATCCGAGTTGTACAAATGACCTTAACCTGAAGACCTTGCTAGAGAGTAGCTTAAAGGTCCTGTGTCCTAAAGAGCTTGCTAGGGGCAGTAGTGTGTACCCAAATGTTGAATGTAGCACATCGCCCTGACATCATGAGCCCTTGTGTACGGCCTGCGCTCAATGTTTTGATCTCATCTTCCAGTGGCGGCAACACGCCAGTGGTCATCAATATTTCATTTCAATAAATCGCTTCAAAATTGGCTTTCTTTCGTTTATTTCTTTTAATAAACCGGGAGTGATCTCCCCTAAATTTTCTCAAATATTCTTATTTAACACAACGGGGAATGGCAACTCGGGATATAGACATGATTTTAAATTCATTTTAAACACTTAAAAAAAAAAAGAATCTCGTAGAAAAAAAAAGTGCGCACCAAGTAAAAACAATGTGTGTATAACTATAATATTGCGGAATGTTAGTACTTAATAAATGAATTTTAGTTTTTTGAAAAATCGGAAATAGCGTGCATTACTACTTCCGGTCAGCGGAAATTACTCAAAATTTGAAAGTAGGCAGAGAATTAGATCTTTTAGCTATATGTGAAATTTCGTTTATCTATCTGAAACAGTACTTGAGATATAGGCTTTTGAAAAACCAGAAGTATAAAAGTTCCATTTCTGGTTACATGAAATCGCTGAAAAGTTGAAACAGAACTAATAATTTGATATAATACTTATATATGAAATTTCATCAACCTAGCTGTACCGGTACTCAAGTGATTGTGTTCACAGACATACACACACACAGACATACGGATAGAATTGCAAAACTAAGTTTTTCCGACTCATGGAGGTGTAAAACGTCGAGATACTTCCTATATACTTTGTATACGAGAAAGCAAAAAACTAATGTTTATTTATATTTTAATGTTAACAAATATAGAACTAATTGTATTATCCAGCTCAATAATTTAAAATTTGACTCAAATAATTACATTTTTCTCTATTTCGGCCGGGATAAACAAATCCTTACCTGGCAACAACCAAAACTGACCAGCAGAAAGTTTCCTGCGTTGTGGGTTGGTGGGCTGGGTCATCATGGGACATGTTTTTTGTGGGGGTGTCCAATTTTTTGACCAGAAATATTTTTGTGGACGAGCGTATTGTTAAAATAATAGATACAAAAATGCAGGCGTGAATTGAATGCGATGACGGCCACATGTACCAAAATACCATATGGTTATGGGTGATAATAATAGTAGAAGTTGTCGGCTACTGTAACTTGGGTCTTTAGAAAAAGTTAACCAAGGGAGGCAACCTTAGCTTCTCTCGCGGCACAACTAAAACACAGTTATCTAACCTGAATCTAAAAATACACTTGACCCAGATGTATTGTAAACATTTATTAGTGCTCTTAACAACTTGATGGTGAGACATGTTTTTTTTTTATCTTGTTATTTATTTTTTTAACACTGACTAATCTTTCTTTTGTTCTCCTAATTGACTTTAGGAAACATTTCTCAATTTCTTTGTACTCTTATAGCATGTTTTTTGTGTTTAAAATGTTTCGACACTTCTAGATTTAAAAAAAAACCACATTGATTTAGACACACAAGTCCTGAAATAACGGGAGGACTACTGTGACAACAACAGACCATTGGGTAGGATTTTCTAGCCAACCATCAAGTGGGTTGTGGTCTACGAAGGATTTTCTAGCCAACCGATCAAGTGGGTTGTGGTCTACGAACGTCGGTTTACTCTACCCGATGATCTTCCACGGATCATCCCCCCCCCCCCCCCCCCCCCAAAAAAAAAAGATCGGCCGCAACCTATTGACTCACTAAACCCTGCGACGCCCCCCCCCCCCCCAAAAAAAAAACAACAACGATCGGCCACCATCTATAGACCCCCTAACTCTTACCACTCACTAAACCCTGCGACCCCCCCCCCCCCAAAACGATCGGCCGCCACCTATTGACGCCCTAAGTCTTACCACTCGCTAAACCCTGCGACCCCCCCCCCCCCCCTACTGGCTGCATGATAAACTCTAATGCAACAAGCACCAACGCTATGTGACGACCTCGCTTGAAGTAGTTTATCGCACGTGTGATAAGCTCTTGTTGTTTGAAGGTTTCTTTACAAACATGTTGTCTTGCTCGAGCTATCACGCTGTCACATTCTGACGTGGTGATATCAAATAGTGCCACATCCTACGTCACGTCACAATAGTCGTTTCTGTGACGTAATTAAAGACGCAATTTCCATCAGGTGACGACACAGCTTTGTGTGACGTCACCTTTGAACTCGCCCTTGATATTACCATTTTATAACTTCACCGTGACGCCACCAGTACCCTACTCACTCCCCCCAACCCGTGACGCCACCAACAACCCAGTCCCCCCCCCCCCCATGTAGCATCCCCCCCCCCCCTGTGACGTGACTAGCGCCACGCCTCCCCATGACCTATGGCGGAGCAAACAAATGTACGGCTCTAATCCCCCAGCTAGCTGTGACTTGGTCCACCGCTGACCTTTGACATTTGGTCACGTGCCTGTCTGGGCTACATTCTGTCACTGTCGTCAGTGAGCCAAGTCCTGTGGGTAATCACAAGCCACTGGATGGTGGATTCTCGCCCTGGATAAGCTGCTGGATAGGTCATTAATCGGTCAATGAAGGGTGGATTAGTGACAGCTCATAGGTCGATCAGTAAAAGGTCATCATAGGTCGATCAGTAAACAAAAAGGTCATCATCTTCTGGAAGGTCAGTCATACTTCTATGCTAGTTGTAAGCTAGTGTTAGGTCACTGTCTCAATGGTCACCTTTTAGGGTAACCACTAAAGACCCAGTCTACATCCCCGCTAAGGTCCCTGTGTTAACCCCCCCCCCACGAGGTACATGTATTAAATCCCCTCTAAGGTCCCTGTGTTAACCCCCACTAAGGTCCCTGTGTTAAACGCCACAACCCCCCCCCCCCCGCGAAAATGTGCGTTTCGATCAACCTTTGACTTGTACTTGTAACTAGTAGCGAGCTATAAAACTGAACCAAAATTAGATTGTGAAATCAATACAAACAATTTGACACCACCTGTAGACTTGGGCCAAATCTAGTTAATGAGATGTTAGGGACTGGTCAACTTGTTGACCTATGGTTGATGAGATGTTAGAGACTGGTCAACTTGTTGACCTATGGTTGATTGATGAGATGTTAGGGACTGGTCAACTTGTTGACCTATGGTTGATGAGATGTTAGGGACTGGTCAACTTGTTGACTTATGGTTGATGAGATGTTAGGGACTGGTCAACTTGTTGACCTATGGTTGGTTGATGAGATGTTAGGGACTGGTCAACTTGTTGACCTATGGTTGATGAGATGCTAGGGACTGGTCAACTTGTTGACCTATGGTTGATGAGATGTTAGGGACTGGTCAACTTGTTGACCTATGGTCGATGAGATGCTAGGGACTGGTCAACTTGTTGACCTATGGTTGGTTGACGAGATGTTAGACACTGGTCAACTTGTTGACCTATGGTTGGTTGATGAGATGTTAGAGACTGGTCAACTTGTTGACCTATGGTTGAATGATGAGATGTTAGGGACTGGTCAACTTGTTGACCTATGGTTGATGAGATGTTAAGGACTGGTCAACTTGTTGAACAATGGTTGATTGATGAGATGTTAGGGACTGGTCAACTTGTTGACCTCTCGTTGATGAGATGTTAGAGACCGGTCAACTTGTTGACCTATGGTTGGTTGATGAGATGTTAGGGACAGGTCAACTTGTTGACCTATGGTTGATGAGATGTTAGGGACAGGTCAACTTGTTGACCTATGGTTGATGAGATGTAGTCTCACCTAGGCTACCTTGTCTATCCTGATACCTTGTCTCACCTAAAGTGACCTGACTTAAGGTTGGGGGAGTAAAATTGACCTGATTAGGATGGGGGGGGGAATGACTGGGTGCTGATAATATAAAGTCCCCCCCCCCCCCCGTTTCCTTAACCACGGCATCAGAAGGGACGGTGTGTCCAGCCGCCTACACCTTCTTTAACGTCAGTCAGGTACCCATCAGAGCTGGGCTGTTTATACTATTTATAGACTGGAGGCAGAAATCAAAACTCGAGACTTTCGGACGGACGCTCTATCCGCCAGGCCACGCTGCCCCATGGTGGTAACTGAGGGGGGGGGGGGCGTAATGTCCGGTTTCCGGTAAGATTGTGTCCCTTATGAAGTAATAATTCGTACACTGTTTGAAGAAATTGACGTTTGGTATATGCAAGTGTAAGAGAGAACTGGATGTTTGTGGTTCTAGATCTAGTACGATGAGGTACAAACGAAACGAGGCCAGAATAAACACCAACACCGGTGTTCCTGCACGCTGTAATCTCCCAACACGCGAGAGCTATCCAGCCCTACCCGGTGCAGAATCATCTATTGATCCCATTGGTTTTTTTTTTCTATCCGTAAAGAAATGTTTTCCTCACAATTGCAATACTTTCCCCGACGGGTGCCCTGGAGGCGCCTTGTGTTTTCTGTCGGAAGATTTTCTCTCCTGCTAGACTTTCATGTAAGTAACCACTGTCACCGTATGTAGAGATTCGCGCCCTTTCTCCCCGAGTTTCCCGCCTCAAGCTGGCTAGACACCCGCGCGTGCACTGTCTGGGTCAGTTAGAGAGTCATGTTCGATAACTCTTCATTTCTAGGTAGACAATATGTTATCTCCCTTTGTTGATTATACGTCGGCTATCGCATTTTTATTGTGTTTTTTTTCGATCCCGGTTTGTTTGTTAGAGAACGAGTGAGTGGGTTTGGGTGGATTTAATACAGACCGAAATCTAATGCAGCGATCCCAAACTTTTCAGTTGAATTCATTTCTTAAGTGAGTTCAAGAAAGTTTAATTTTCATTCTAATGACATATTAAATTATGTTTTGAAATTATTTTTAAAAAATTACTATATTAATTTAAGATTTTAACAACCGAAGGAGAAATAACGGCACCCTCACTGGTTATAGATTCCGACGGGGCATTATGTTCATTGTAGTGGGGTCATCTCTAGTTGACTGTATGGGGTCATCTCTAGTTGACTGTATGGGGTCATCTCTAGTTGACTGTATGGGGTCATCTCTAGTTGACTGTATGGGGTCATCTCTAGTTGACTGTATGGGGTCATCTCTAGTTGACTGTATGGGGTCATCTCTAGTTGACTGTATGGGGTCATCTCTAGTTGACTGTATGGGGTCATCTCTAGTTGACTGTAT